CACATTTTCTTGCTCTTGGCGGCCGCCAACGAGCCCGCCTTACGTAATTGCTACATCTGCGAGTAGCAAGGGCACGCGCCGTACACTGCCGTGGCAATGCGTGCGACGACGACACCGGCGCTTGCCATGTATGTTGCTACAGTCGCATCGCGGCTCTATTGCCGTCCCGCGAGCGGCGACCACTGCGTCTTTGAGCAAGACGGCACGCTGCAACTTAACAGCTTTGTGGCTTCGAATCTCCGCGTACAAGACCCGGTGACCAACGACGTCTTTGTCCGGCTCGACAACTGCACCGCCTGGCTGCCGCTACGCTGCTTGGGGTCGTATACTGCGACTACGACCTGTACCATCATCAAGGTGTCGACGCCGACGAATGTGTACCGCAACATTCACACCTGGGCAAACAGCAACGCTTTGGCGACGTTGCCTATCAATCACCTCGACTCGACAACTTGCCACGTCATCGCAAGTACCGGCAGCTTGTATGCGCGAGTCTCGTACAACAATCATGTCGGCTGGTGCCGTCTCGAGCAATCGGACGTCCTCTCGCAGTGTCCGCCGCGCCTGACCGAGCTGGCGGCTGGTCGTTCGATCCCTGTTGCGATACTCCAAGGCGACTACTACCTCCTCGTGCTCAACGAGGTCCAAGCAGGTGGGACGACCACGCAGCGCTTCAAGTACCGTATTCCGCACACGATGGCGCGCCAGATCGACAACTGCATCTCGAAAGGCCGGCACGTAACGCACGCGGCCCTCGGCCCCAACGGCGAGTGGTACATTAGCAGTACCAAGCCTGATGGCAGCGGCACTCACTGCTGGGCCAGCAAGAACGTCTCCAAGAAGTTTTCGAAATCCATGACGAAGGACTGTTGCGTTGCCTTTGGGCGCAATGGCAACTTTGCACTCGTCGGCTCCGTGGCATCTTCCGGCTTGAAGAAGGATGCCAAGAAAGCATTGCACGGTGCGCGCAACATCAAGGCGTTTGGCTTTGATGAGAACAATGGGTTTTTCACTAACAATTCGGGCGGTGTCGACGCCGACAACATTGCCTCCTGGTTCATAA